ATGAGTTTGTGGGCAGTAGCCCGCTCTAAGCTTTTCGGAATGGAACGGTAATAAGACAGGTACAACTGCTTTGCTCTATCAAAAGCATCATCCAACCAGACACTTTGCTGTAAACATAGGACGAAACATATAAACTCAGCAAAAACCAAGAATGCCTTTAAAGTGAGTTGAGACTTCTTTCCGTCAACTATTTCAACATGAATAGCCAGCCACAAATTAACAGGATTAGTTGAAAATAGAGGTAATTACAATAACCAATGTATATATATATATATATATATATATATACACACAGAGAGAGAGAGAGAAAGATAGAGGGGAGAGAGAGAGAGAGAAAGATAGAGGGGAGAGAGAGAGAGAGAGAGAGAGAGACTGCACCACCATCAGAAACCCACAGAAAGCTACTTGCTAGGTAAATACAAATTCAAGGGAACTTTAGACTGAACCTCTAAGGTAGTCTGTAAGTCCTTATAAAAATTATTGGCAAGACCAATCAGCTCCCAAGATTAGAACATCCATATAGTTATAAGGATCAACTTCACTGTTGTACATGTTGTACATTTATGCATAACAGCAAACTGTCATGACAATTTTCAACAAAAGGCCGACTGCACCCATTTCAAATAAGATAAACTCACAAAACCAGATCCAACCTCCGAGGGATCTGAGACTGACCAAACAAGAGACACGTGCAAGATTTGCATTCCACTGTTAAAAATAAATAAATAAATAAAATATAATAAAATAAAAGTACTAATGGAATTAGCTGCCCTCTATTCATAACACGTCTCAATACAAACAAGTTGACCAAGTAGCAACAAAAAATAACACCAAACAGAAGGAAACAAAAAATTAGCAGCTCTCTAAATTAGGACTAACCAGGTTGGAAACAGTTAGGTGTTATGTTAGTCCTACATCGATTAGTTACTAGTCTATTATTGTGTATAAGTGTGGATTGGGCACCCTCTCCCTTTGAGCTACCTTTTGGGGATGAGTTCTACCCAAGCCCATTTTATCATGGTATCAGAGCAATAGGGTTTTATTTGTTTAGAGCAATGTTGGGAGTAAACCCGGCCCATTTGGTTTGACAAAATGCGCATGAGGGTGGAATAAAAGGCCAATGAAAAAAAGAAACTAAACATTATATTAAAAAA